GGTGTTTCTGGGGCCCTGGTGGTGTCGTGGTTACATGTTGGGCTGCTGACTGCCAGGTCAGCAGTTTGAGCCCACCACTCGCTGCTCAGGAGGAAGAGGAGACTTTGCCACTCCCGTTGATCTAAGTGAGACCGTCTCGGAAACCCACAGGGGCAGTTCTACCCTGTCCTTTGGGGTCATGCTGAGCCGGAATGGAGTCTGTGGCGTGAGTTTGGTTTGGATCTGAAGTCTCCGGTGTCTGGCTCACTGCGCTCAGCATGATGTCCATCCAGGCGGCAGGAGGCAGCAGGACTTCGTTCCTCTCTAGGTTGACGCCCGAGTCCTAGTCCACCGGCTGGATGGTCCCTGTTTTGTGACCCTGTCATCTGTTGATGGACAGTGGGGTGCTTCTGTGTGGGGCCGTTGTGAGAGTGTTGCCAGGCGCTCCTCTGGCGCGTGGAAGAGTGTTGCTAGTGCTTGTGTATACTCTTGCTTGACTTGAGGTCATTGAAAATGGACTCACTACCGGTAGGTGGCCGTTCATATGAGCCGGACACTGCATTTTTCAGAATCGGGTAATGAGGTAAGTGGGTCTGAGTAACAGTAACATAATAATCACTTGGAGAAGTGTTTTCAACTCCCCATCTTCACAGAACTTTCTCCCCTCTGACCCCAGGCTGTTCGGCTCTTGAGTTCCCCCCCACCCAAGCACGGACCCAAGATCACACCTTCCTGGATGTCACCGCTGAGCTGCTCCAGTCCTGATGACTTCAAGAATGTTTCTGGAACATTCCAGCGACCTGCCTGTCCAGAACATTTAATATCGTGGGCAGGTGGAAAACCGTTCTCCCAAGATGCCGCGCGCCTTTTTTTTTTTTCTCCCCTCCTCTTTTCAAAGATGTTCTCGCTTTGGATTCTGGACTTGAATGGTGCCCACAGACGAGTTACGGAGGGTTAGTACCTGGAGCAATGATAACATCCTGTCTTGTTCCTTCCATCGCCCTGGAGTCTCTCTTCCATCAGGCCTTCTCCCGGTACCTGCTTTCTGAGGGTGTTTTGGGGTTTCTTCGGAAGAACCGTCATTTTGAGTAGAATCGTCCAGATGTCTCTGGCCACTTTTCCCTGGAGAGCTGAGCGGAAAGCTTGGCCCGTGCAGGGGTCTCGGCCTTTCTTTTGGACGGAACAAGTAAGTTCAGGGCTGCCGAGCCGGCCCATAGAGCTTGAAGCAGTGATGAGCCCACTGCCCTCATTCCTGTCCCATCCCAACAGCCTTCTGCTCTGCCTCAGGGCAGCTGAGCCCGCCTTCAGGGGTTTAAAAAAAAGAGCAGGTCACCTGTTAGAGGGACAGTGGCCTTCCCGTCTAAACACTAAGCCGATAGCTAGCGGGGCGAGATGAATTCGGTGCCATTATTACCAATTTCCCAAGGGAGAGGGGGGGGGGGGGGGGGGGGATTCTGTGCAAAATCAACGTCTCGCTTTGCCTTGAAGCCCGTGGTGAAGTGAAATGACCCCGGGATGGTTCCTTATGGTACCATTGCTGGAATGAGTGGTGGGCAGAGTTTCTGGGTCATTTTGAGCTGGAGAACAGTGAGGCTGGTCCTTAGAACCGTCGTGACTTCGGACTCAGTGCCTGTGAGAAGGGAACCCTGGTGCGCCCACCGGAGTGAAATGCCAGCTGCCCACATCCCAGAGGCTTTTGATTAGTGGGCGCTTTTGAGATTTTGACTTGTTAGTCAACCCAGAATGGGGGGCAGAGAGGTTTCCAAACCTAAGTAGCATTACAGAAGATAAAAGTCTCTTTCTAACACGGGACTTTGGCTTACATGTCTTTCCTGTGACGCCAACCTGAACTTGAGTCGTTTCCCCGTGTGAATCATCAATCAACATACCGGTATACCCTCACAGTACATGATCTGGTGTCTATTGTCGTCCAGGTTTTTCCCCAGCCGCCTCCGAGGCCACATCAGATGCCTCGGGAAGTTGTTGGCACTTTGTGAGCAAGAGGTGCCACTTGGAGGGCCAGGGCTCTCTGGGACCCCTTCTCTCTCCTACTGGGGATGTTCCTGTAGCAGCAGACTTCCACTGCGGACTTCTTTGGGCTCCTTCGTCACTTTGTTTGGAATGCTGTTCATGAACTGACTGTCTCTTTTCCATTATCTTCTGCAGCTGGGCCTTTTCCATGAGCCGGATGGTGGGAGGGGGTCTTCCTCTTCTGACTGCCACAGGAGCGCGTGTGGTCGGTTTTCTATTGTGCCCCTTTGGTCTAGGACAGGCTCTCGTGGCGTCTCGGTCACTTCTGCCTTCTCAGTCACTGCGCCTGTCCCTCGCATTGGGTCAGTGGCTCGTGCCCCCATCAGGTTAGCAGAAACTCAATGAGTTCTCTCAGTGAGTGTTCTTAAGGTAACGCTCTGAAGAGGCCTTGCTGCCGGGCTCTGTTAGCAGACTCCTCCTTTCCATTGTTCTCCTCCGTCGGACGACAGCCTTCCCTGGTTGCCTAGTAGTGTGGAAGAAGGGATGGAAGAGAACCCGCAATTAGGTGAGAAGGGAGGGAGTTGGAGTTCTGCCAGGTGAAGGCCAGACCTGCAGATGGACAGTTCAAAAGATATCGGCGAGGGAAAGTGGGCAACAAGCCCTAAACCCATCCGTAGTAATCTTGACGGCACAGAGTAGAAATGCCCCACGGGGGTGTCGAGGTTGTAAATCTGTGAAAAGCAAATTGCCATGTGATGAGTGGCTGCACCCCAAGTACACTTTGCAGGTTGTTAAAATGTCAGACGAGAGGGAGAAAGAAAAAGAGAGGTTTTGTGTGTGCGGTGTGTGTGTTTCTCTCGGATGTTGCTAAAAGTAAGTGCCGGGTGAGATCTGTGCACACAGGGCAGAGACCTGTGGTTGTGGCTGCCATTTGCCAAGCCCACTTCCACTTTTGCCCAGTGAACATAACAGAGTGTTGGGAGGTGCCAGAAGTTAAATGCCCAGCTACTCCCTGAGAAGGTTGGAGGTTCGAGCCCACCCAGCGGCACCCTGGAAGAAAAGCCTGGCAGTCCGCTTCTGAAAAGCCAGCCTATTGGAAACTGGAGCACAGCACACACCGCACAGACACACATCCCTATTTGCTCAGCATCGCCAGCTCCGCACCAGCTCATTGAATGAAACTCTGCTTCCGTTTAAGTCTGGGCCAGGCCTCCTGTCATGGCCTACGAATGGCAAGGATCATAGCAGCTGATGCAAGCCCTGCCCGGGCCCCCAGTTCTCGGATGAAAGGACAGACGGGCCAAGGTCAGGGCCAGCTTGCCCTCGGGGAGGTGGGTGAATGGTGGGAGGATAGCCTTCTGCCTTATTCAGGTTTCAATGAAGCAGTGTTATTTATTAAAACGTTATGGGTTGGATTGTGTTGTAAGAATAGAATGGTATCTTGGGGATTTTGTCTCAATTGTACTTTGTGCCTGAGAACTATCCTCACATTGTTCCAGTCTTGAGGCCAGTGTAGCTTTTCAGGCTGCAGTAGGAGGCAAACAGTTTCTAAATCACC